CTTTACTCGCGTAAAGATCGCATACGACAGGGCTGACGGTCGATGAGCAAGCCAACTGAGTCGTATAATAATAGCTTATACTTTAAGACTCTCGCCTGTTATGCTTTGTTAATCGATACTTGCGCCAGAGATATCGTCGGTCTGCGCTAGTATACAGACGCAGTAGTAGGTTAGTGTAAGAGTCATATAGTGGTACTACCTATAGTTGTAAAGAAGCTGTCATGAAGAGCTGCATGACTGTCTCACAAGGCATCAACGGGAATGAGGCTGGAATAAGGTACAAGAGAAATTCTCGACATATAATCAATTAATATCAAGTTTAATTCATTACGCACAAAACTTGAACAAATACATTTTCCATTAAATTCCTCAGAAGAAAAACTTTTCATTGAAAGAAAAAGTTTGCTTAGCTTGCAAGAAAAGCTTGCCATATTACGAGCATCTAAAACTCACATAGGGACATGCTTATGGTGTTATGCAGCCTTAAGGCTTGGTAAAGCGTCTATGGTCCCGTGATTTTTATTCTACTGTTTACCAGGTCGAGAATGTTCAAAACCATAATAGTTATGATTTTATTTGAAAATCACAAAGGTCTTCTGTAAAGGGGAATGCAGGAAAAAAATCAACACCGTCTATGTAAGCCGCGTAGGTTTGCAACTAGAGAAGGAATGGGACGAGTGGCATTAAACGGTTGCAAATTGTAAGGTCAGAAGTCACAGATTTTAGATGGAAAGTTTGAACGCTTTTTGACGATAAACGTTGCAAATACTGCTCCGCTGTGTGCATCTTCAAATTTATCATCTGGCACAAACAAACAACGAGTTATCTTCAGTCAGAAGGCGACAGTGGTTACTATAGAAGAAAGGTGACTTCCGTAAATGCAACAAGAGAAGAAAATAATTTTTTCAAATTTAACAGCAAGCATATGCAGTGAACAATAAATTAAGAAAAGTTAAGTACTAGACAGAAATGCAAAAAAAAAAAAAAAAAAAGAAAGAGGCGTCTGCGGGAACATTGTTAGAAATAAAGCCTGTAAAGTCCAAGCTGTCATAGTTTATTCTGGTGCCTTAAGCATGAAAAGAAGGATCGTCCTGGATGGGGTTCTAGTCCATTGCAGATAACTCAGAAATCTATAAACGCCAATCCAGTTCGCTGATACTAACCATACTACCAGAAAGGTAGTGGTTCTGTGAGGCTAAGTTCTTTTATGCTGAAGAACACATTTGCAACGGGGTAGGGACTGGAAACGTAATAATCAAATGACTGTTTGGTAAACATTTATTCCAATGTTTAAGCTATTGAGAGTTTTGTCGAAAAAACAAAAAACAAAAAAAAACTGACTAATTGAACGATGCAATGCGAGGTTGAACCGTCCTCGTTAGTCACAGTCAAAATTTTATTAGCACAACCTTTTACAGTGATGAACATGGTTTTTAAATTGTTTACTGAGGCACTTTTCTAAGATATAATTTAAACAAACAGGCTATGTATTACCTAGATTTTAAAAGTGAATTTAAATCAGCACTTCTCTGCTCTTTTAGCTGTTCTTTTTTCTTCCTGGATATGATATTTTATGCTTGTTTTGTTTTTGTTTTTGTTTTTTTCATTGTTTCCATCGTTTTTTTCTACAGTGTGGAACGTTTTCATTCAAGAAAGAACTGTCCTTAGTAAATTGAGTTGACATACCAAGCGTAAGCAGTTCGAATTCCCACATCACAATACCGTATGACCATCTAGATAAAGAATGCTGATAAGTGAGTGTTTCTAATGACGAAGTAAAAGTCATTGACATCACAAATAACTCGCTTTCCAGTTACCCCCTAGACCAAGTGCTCACTGATTTTGACTGGAGGTTCACATATTTATGTAATGATAGTAATTTCCGATTTTCTGAGTCGTTAAAAGACTGGCTCGCACTACGACACAGGTATAATTCAACCAGCGACATAAGTGCGAGAACGAGGAAAGAACTAACGTTTGCATCACGGAAGAGTATCCATGTTCTAATTTTTACGTTTATGCTTATGCACAGTGTAAAACAGCATTTGAAATAACACTGAAATGGAGAGAATAAGCCAACAAGGAATAAAGATAATTAAAGAAGGAAAAGGTTAAGACTGTCTACAAATGAATAAATTTACTCTAAGGGTTCAGGTTCTAAGTTTCTAAGGTTCTAAGGTCTCAGGTTGAGGGGGAGTGCGGGGGTATTACAAGTTCTATCGTATTTCGCAGCTTACATTACTCATTTATGTTCGCGTTCGAAGGACTTTGGAATCTTTATTGACTAACCAGAGCACTAATATTTTGCCAAGTTGATCACACTTTATGCTACCAAATTATATTGAAATAAAAGTCAATTTGATACTCTGGTAACGGTTTTCCTTATGTAAACGTTTGGACAGTAAGCGAATTCTTGACATTAATTCATTTTTATTGTTATTCTTATTTGTTGCAAATAAGGGAGAGAGAGAAGAAAAATAAAAGAAAATGAAACCTTTTATTGGCCAGAGCATGATGTCGAGAACTTTGTTTTGAATTTAAAATCGAAAAAGAAAAGCAGATCAAGGATTTGAAATTAATGTTTACGATATGAAGGAACAAAATTTTAAATGTCTGTCCTCATTTACTCTTAAATGACAGATCAGCATTGTAAGCAATGAGCAGAGAAAGTTTTTGCAAGTTACAAATGCCCGAACAAAGTACCCTGGAAATCTGTCTGATCATTACTTTTTAGGATTCCTATTTTTTAACCTTTTAAACCAGCATTTGAGATGCAACTAATCGCCTAATTTTTGCGGTGGAACGGCTCACTTAACAGTCGAAATATAAGATCTTACCCCATGAGGTACATCAGATACTGTTGCTGGCCTCGATGGAATCCAGATCCAGGGTTTACCTGGTGTTGGCTGCTATTCTAAAATGACTTTAGAGAACAAAATTCATGAGGTCAATAATGCACCTATGAAAAGTGCTTTACAACAAAAACTGCGTGCCAACTATAATTAGCTCATATCCAAGAACGGTTCAATTATTGAGATGAAAAATTGTTTATGTGACGTAATAAGTAGTACTTTCAATAAAGAATATCTGATAACCTGCTGGTGCATTTGGTATACATATGGATGTTTTCGATTCGATCTGTCTGTTCGATATTATTTCGTCGACAATTTTCGTAATGCACATTTGTTTCATGATCGGCCCAAATTCATCGCCATGTTGTAACATGGAAAGCATTCTCAATACCAAAGGTTGATTTTCCTTGTTTTTCCATTTTCACTAAGGTCTCTTCGTCATCTTTGACTTAAAAAACGTATATAAAATGATACTGTACGCATATATCTAGACTTAGAAAATATTGCAGCATTACTTCATACGTTCATCGGCCGGTTAACGATTGTAACTAAGCAGTAATGCATGTCCGATTGCGCCTTGAGCTACAGAGGAAAAAAACGCACAGGCTTATCATATTTTAAATGGAAAAGATGGGTCATACTCTTTGATCGTTTTGATATGCTTAGATTTGTTATGTTTTATTTAAGAAATAGATATTTCACTTTTCTCCAATTGAAACCGAATTCTTGATACGGAATGATTCATTCAGCTAATTCCCCTGTGTTACCTTTAGATTTCTTAGATGAATTGATTACAAATCGCATTTTCTTTAATGAGATTTAGGTACATACAACAGATGTCCCAGCCTCTCAGTTACATCTATCACATTTTATGAACATTCTCAAAGCCTTCTTGATAAATTATGAAAGTAGATCGGACTGACATTTTGCACGGCTTCCCAGAGCCTTGACTAGGCAGTAATTGAAATGGTCTCGATTGAGCAAAAGTCACGGGATTTAGCGAAAATGAGAATTACAAAAATGAAACTGAAAAAAAATATTTGAAAAGTTGCAGTCGAACTTTTGAGAACAAAACGCATTATTTTTTTTTATTTATTACTATTTAATGGCTCAGTTAAAACAGATAAAGTTATAAAGTACAAGCGAAAAGAAAAGAAACACCATGTGGATAATCCGTAAAAGAGTCCAGCACCCCATATGAAAACAGATCATCAAAGTGAAAATAGGCTAAAATATATTACATATGTTTTAAACTAGAAATAATTATTATAAAAATTCCACGGATCATATTAATTAGATATATTATCCACTAAACACTTCTTAACTCCTGCCTTAAAATTATTTACACTTGCTGCTCTACGAGTATCAAAGGGCAAAAGATTCTGGGAATCAACTATCCTGTGAAAAAAAAAACTATATTTGAGAGGATTTTTTCTTGTGTATTTCTTCTTTACTGAAAGATAAATTATCATATTTCCTAAATGAATAATGGACAGCATCCGAATAAAAATCAACATAAGCGTCAATATTAATGTCAATAATTCCGTTAAGGGCATTATAACGTCAGCTAAGAATCTTCTATTTTCTAATGATATCAAATTTAACTTCTTTAGACGAGCCTCATAATTTTCCTCAGTCTTTAATATAAATTTTGTTGCTCTTTTTTGTACTTTTTCAAGCTTTTCTGTGTTCTTTTTGGTATAGGGTGACCATACCACAGAGCAGTATTCAACATTTAATCGTACCAATGCGCAGTAGAGAGTTCTCAGTGTGTTTAAGTCATCCAGTCCTCTGCATATTCTTTTGATTAGCCCTAGCATTCTGTTTGCTTTGGACACAATAATATCAATGTGCGAATTCCAATTCAAGTGTCCAGTGTTTGTTACCCCCAAGTCTTTGAATTCAATGTAAGACAGTCCTGATTTCCCTAAAAACCGTGCACTATCTCCTTAATTAAGAAAATCATCTTGACGCATTTATTCTTAACTTAGTTTCCACTACATCCGTACCGTTTTTATCAGAATACCAGGCTGAAGTGCTTTGAGCGCGTCCTATACATACTTTGTCACGCTCATTAGTCTTACCGGGCATGACTTTGCCATAATGATTTTAAGGTCACTAAATGACCTTTTGATAGTCGTTTGCTGCCTCTTTAACCGCTCGCTTATGCGTCGGACACCGTGCTTGTGTCTCACTAAGTGTGGATTGAGCTTCCT